TCCCTAATCTGGCATAAGGAAACAGATATCCAGATCCAGGAAACCCAGAGAGTTCTAAATTAGATAAACCCAAAGGGCCCCTCGCCAAGACACGTTACAGTTAAAATGTCAAAAGTTAAAGACAAGGGGAGAATATTAAAAGCAGCAAGAGAAAAACAACTTGTTAGATGCAAAAGAACTCCTATAAGACTGTCGGCAGATTTTTCAGCTTTGCAGGTCACACGTAGTGGCATGATATATTCTAAGTGATCAAAGCAAAAAACTTCCAGCACAGAATACTTCACCTGGCAAAGTTATCATTCAGAATTAAAGGGTAGATATAGAGTTTTCCAGATAAGCAAAAGCTAACAGAGTTCATCACCACTAACTGGCCTTACAAGAAATGTGAAAGGGACTTCTTGAAGCTGAAAAGAAGGGGTGCTAATTAGTAACAAGAAAATATATAAAAGAATAAAACTTACTGGAAAAGTAAATATAAAGTAAAGGTAGTAGATTAATTATTATGAAGCTAGTATGATAGTTAAAAGACAAAAGTAGGAAAACAACTATGATTACAATAATGGTTAAGGTATACACAAGATAAAAGATGTAAAATGTGGAATCAAAAACATAAAATATAGGTGGGAGTGTAAAAAATGTTGAGCTCTAGAAGTGGATCAAACTGAAGTTTTTATCAGCTTAAAATAGACTATTATAAGTTGTTATATGTAAGCCTCATGATAACCACAAAGCAAAACCTTTAGTAAATATACAAAAGATAAAGAAGAAAGAATATAAGCATACCACTAAAGAAAGTCATCAAACCATGATGGAAGAGAGCAAGACAAGAAGAGAGGAACTATAAAAACAGCCAGAAAACAATAAAATGGCAATAAGCACATACCTGTCAATCATTCCTTGAAATATAAATGGACTAAATTCTCCAATCAAAAGATGTAGAGTAGCTGGATGGATAAAAGACAAGACTCAAAAAATATTGTTGAGGCTACTGTGTGGAAAATAGACTGTGCATTAGAGGCTGGGGTGAATAGCTGGAGAACTGAAACAGTCCAAGCTTGTCTGGATGATGGTTTGGAATAGAGTGACAGATGGTTTAAGGGTAGAAACAGGGAGACCAGTTAGGAGCTATTACAATAACTAATATGTAGGTGGTGGTGGTTTGGACCCAAGTGGTAGCTGTGGTGATGGGGGGAAATATTTAGATTCAGTGGATATTCTGAAGGTAAGGTAGACATGAACTAATGATGTGTTGGATGTGTGGTAAGAGAGAAAGAGGAGTCAAGGATGATGTACTGGGTTGAAGAGTGTCCCGCAAAAGCTCATGTCCACTGAGTTTGTGAATTTCACCTTATATGGATATAAGGTTCTTGCAGGTGAAGTCAAGTTAAGATGACATCATACTAGACTAGGATGGGCCCTAAATGTAGTGACTGCTGTCCTTGTAGAAGGAGGGAGCTTTGGACTCACAGACACACAGAGGGAAGACGCCCATGTAGAGGCAGAAATGGAGTGATACACCTACAAGCGACGATAGATGATGGACCACTGACAGTCTCTACAAGCTAGAGTTCTTCCTTAGGTCCTTCATGGGGAGCATGGCCCTACAGACACCTTGACTTCAGACTTCCAGCCTCCAGAACTGGGAGAGAATAGATTTCTTTTCTTTTTAAGCTGCCTGGTTTGTGCCCTAGAAAATGAATCCAGATGGCTCCAAGGCTTTTGCCCTAAGTCAACTGCAAAAATGGAGAAACCCCTTAGTGAGAAACACTAGGCTACAAGGTTTGTGGGAGGGACTAACAGCTCAGTTTCTGACATGTGAAACTTGAGATGTTTGTTAGATATCCAAGTGGAGATGTTAAGCAAAAATACAAATATAGAATTTGGAGGATGGAGAAGGGGCCAGAGTTATAAATTTAGAAGTCACCAGCTCAGCACACAGAGTATTTAAAGCAACTAGATGAGATCATAGAAGGAGTGAACAAACACACAGAGGAGAAGTGGAAGGACTAATGAGTACATCCTAAAAGGAAGGAGCCCTAAGACAAAAGAAACAATGATAGATGAAGGCACAAGCAAATAATTCTAAAAATTCATTATAATGATGATAATTTGAAATACTGTAGATAATCTCAACCAAGGTATGCTGGTAGGGGAAACCAAACTAAAATTGATTGTACTATACATGGGGATAGGATGTAGACATGAGTTAATTGTAGATACTAATAAAAATAAGTTTAAGTAGGTCAATATATTAAAATTTCAAAGGTAAATACAAAAACAGAATATCATATATATGTTTGAAAACCCAAAAGGGAAAAAAGGCACAGAGAAAGATTAATTAGCCTAACTAGAGGTGGAAAATCTGAGTAAGCAAAGAGGCATTGGGAGAAATGAAAAGATAGATTTACTCTTAAAAGAAAACTGTATTATTATACTCAACACATTGGAATCATCTCTATTAATGTTATAAATAAGGCAAAGATACATAGGTTCTAGTTGACACAATATGAACAGTAAAGTGGACCAAACTGGTTACTTGCAAAATTCTTCAATGACTTTTCGATTCACTCAGAGTAAAGCCCCATGTCCTTTCAATGGCTCTACAGTCCCTGTGTAATGTGACTCTGCATTTGTGTCATTTACTGTCACTTGCCTGGCTGGCTCTGCCCTGGCCCTGCTGGCCTTGCTGTTCCTGCAGCATGCAGGCATGCTCCTGCCTCGGGGACCTGCTCCTTTCCTTCCTTCAGCTCAAGTGTCACTTCCTCAGGAAGGCCCTTCTTAAGCTCTCCTAAAACCCACCTGTCCCTATTCACTACCAGCATTCATTGCCTTCTTTTCCTGATTCATTTTCCTTCAGTGTGCATTATAATCTAACATGTTATATATTTTACTGCTGTACTTCTGTTTGCCCCCACTTGAAAATATAAGTTCACCAAAGAAATCTACTGGAACCAAAAAAAGTCCAGTAAGTAGATATGTAAAACCCAGTACCTTTCTTGCACACCATCAAGGACTAATTCAAAATCATTAAAACCAAAAAAACAAAAAAACACATTCAAATAGAAAAATAAGCAAGTATTTTTAAATATCAAAGAATAAACTAAAGAAGCAATGTGAAAGACCTACATGGCAAAATTGGAGAAATACACATTAAAACAAGGAGATAGCAACTTTTCACCCATTCTACTGACACACTGATAAAAAGAATGAGATAATTTTAAACACTGACATAGATTAAAACACTGACACTCTTGAAATACAGCCAAGGATAAATATGACTTCTGATGCCTCCTGTACCAAAATACTTGCATTTACCAAAAATATTTATTGTAAATGTGTTTGTGATAACAAGCAAATCATAAACAATTTCAGTGTCCATCAAAAGGAGCTTGGTCAAATAAATTACAGGAAATTCACTATAAGAATTCCTGCTGCAGTTAAGAATATTGAAGAAAAATCTCTCTATATTCATTTGAAAAGATCTCCAAATACTTTGTTAAGGGAAATAAAAACCAATTCTTAGAAAGGGATTTACCAATGTGATGATTACAATGAACAATTATTTTAATAATTCACTTCAGAAAGTTGTGATGTTAATATTTAGCAATGATATTTATGTATTGTAGGTATTTGGGAAAAAGTCAACTCTTAGAAGAAAATGCTTTTCATACCGTATCACTTACAGGTTTCAAAAAACTGCATATGCAAACATATAATGCACAAGGACAATGACTGAAATGGTACACACTGAACTCTGGATAGCAATCTCTGAGTAGGGAAATAAAATCTGGATGAGGATGTTAGGGACGTCCATATTTTGCTCCTTCTATTTGCATAATTTCATCTTTATAATCAGTATGTAGTTATGCTGGATAGATAGATAGCCAGACATGAGCAAGGAAGCGGGTGGAGACGTCAGCTAGTGTTTCTGTTTAGCTGGATGTTTACATTCTGTACATTCTGTGTAAGCTGTCCTCATGGGATGTGGGGAGTAAGAATATACAAAACAGACTGGTCACAACTGGCTGGCTCCAATATGGAGAAGTTGACCCAAATTTCACTCGGGAATACATTATATACTTATCACCATAGTAAAAATCACACCTCCCCATATGCCATGACAGTTTTGAGAACCAAATAAAGCCAAAAACTTCCCTGCCCGGTGTGAGGGTGGAGCATGCCTGAACTCCAAGAAGACCCCACCTGTTCCCTTTGAAACCTATCCCCACTTAGTAAATATTCATTGCCCTTTACATAAAAAGGCTCCATATTATTTCTTCGGGCAACCACCTCCGGGTCTGCCCATGCTCAGCCTTCAGGTGTCTACTCTTGCTGTTCTTTAAACTCTTACTTCGCAAATAAATTCCTAAATCTCAACCACATTTTGCATCTGTTCTTGAATTGTTTTTCGTGCTAAGACCAAGAACCCATCTCTGGTAACAGTTATGTGTTAACTGTATGGTTAAAAAAAAAAAACTTATTAGACTCATGTACAATTTAAGTATATTTTTGTGACTGGTTTGTGTATGTGTACTTGTCCTTAGAAAATATGGAAATCCTTTTCCAAAGTCCTAGAAAATATTTTAAGCTTTAAAAGATATCTAAGAGGAAAACTATATACTACACTTCCTCAGTTTCACAAGGCACTGATTTTAAGACACATCATCAATTTAATAATAGTTTCTCAGGAAAAAAACAAGACATACAATCACCCTGAATGTTTAAATGATTTTAAGATGCATTTGAACTTCACAAATGTTTTTAGGTAAAATGACAACTGATATGCATCACATTTTGTAGGAAATATAGAAGGTAAGATTGCAAGCTTGTTTTTTTCCTTTTCATGAATAAATATATGCCTGCAAGTTGTTGAAAATCAGATCCCTACACCTCTGGTAGGAATATTTATGGAGGTAAAGACAATCAAGGGAACACCCACCGTCTACTCAAATCTTTGAGTGAGTAAAAGCATATTCCTCCTGAGTGAAGCAAGTTCTCACCTTATTTGGAAATGGAAATTTGCTTGGTTCCACTTTGCCAGGTGCTTGAATAGCAGAAAGTGGTGGAAGCCAGGTCATCTCCTAAAGGGAGGGAGAAACAAACAACACTGTAATTCGGAGTATTTAAAGTAGCATATAAAGCAGCTATACAAGCCTCCTTAAAGAAGGGACAAGAAATGAGCAAGAGATGAATAGAGCATGAAAGGGATTTTTTGTAAACGTTGTAACACCCACTTTTATGATTTATTTTTCTAATTGTACTAGCTCTTGCTTCCATGGCCATCCCCATGCCCCTCTACACCTTGAAAGCCTGTCTGTTTTCACTTCCTTTAAGCTTCTGAGTAAAGGGACAATCTGACAGTAAAAGGTCTGTGGGAAACACCATACAAAGGGGGCTGCTTCTCTGGGACGTGATCCCACTAAATTGATAGGCTGTTTCTGAAAGAATGCACAAAGCACTTTTAACTTTAGAGATCGTTATTAGAGGAGTTATTTATTTTATTAGAAACTCATATTAGTATGAATTTCCCTAAGTCCCACACATTGCTTTGGTCTCCGTAACAAATGTCATTCATGGAGAAGTGAAAAAAAGTTCACACATATGAAATAAGAGAATGTTGTCGCTTTTATAGAGCAGTATTAAGAACACAACTTGAGCTCAACATGCAATCATGTGTCATATGCTTTTTGACAGACGCTTTCTCTAAACTGTGATAGAGAGGGAGGGGCTGTTTCATGCGCTTCCTTTTAGTCCCCTTCAGCTCCATCTACTGAAAGATACTTGCATTCACGAAATGACTGTGGAATTGAACTGAATCAATTTCTGATTCTAAACTGACTTGGTGTTTACAAACAGGTTCTGAACACTGTTTCTTGATTTCTTCCACTTCCAAAGCTAAGCAAGCATAGAAGCAGTACTTGATCTATTGGAAGAAAAGTGAGAAATTCTCTTTAGGTGAAGATATTTCTCACCTCCGCTCCTTGTGCAGCAGGGGAGGAGGGCCATGGAAAAGGGATTCTTCAGGTGATTGAAATGAGAGAGTTTCTTAAGGATGGTCTGTGCCTCCTTTCCAGGGTAAGTCTCCTTCCAGCACCTCGGATGGTGCAGGCCCATTGCACAGGGAGCAGAGAGTGAGCGTGGTACACCCACCCCCAGGGGCACCGACTGACCCCCCATCATCTCGCCCACCATGACACAGGTGCTGTGGGTGGGCAAGCTCATATGCATTTGAGGTGTCCCTTCTCCACCTGCTGTCACCAATGTCTGTCTAATGGAAAGCTAGGAAGATCAGTGAGCCCTTATGTCCATTTCTCCTCCGCCCTCTGCTCCCTTCCTGTCTGCCTGTCTGTGCTGTATCCATCCCAGTTGTCTCTTTTGAGGGGATTGAGCAGCACTGCCGAGTTGGTGTCCAGGAACAGGGGAGGTGCTCAGCGCATTTATGAACGAGTGCCGAGTACTGAAAGGCAGTGAACAGTATTTCTGCAACGTCTCTACCTTGCTGTGGTTACCTGAACTGCCATTCCAATCACACCTTCATTGTTTTTAATCTGAATTATGTCAATGACTTCCTGATGGATTCTCTTTCTTCTGTTATTGTTAATTTACCTCTACACTCCCGCAAACTTCATTTTTCCAATGTGTGCATCCAAATGAAAAACTCACTGCTCCAAAATCCTCACACACATCACACACATAAAATAACGATGCTTACGAAGGCAATGATGCTTCCGTTGTGTTTTTCAGTGCTCACAGGGCTTCCACTCATGTTTCCCACTTACGCCCAATCTTTGCAGTAATTATGATTATCCCCATATTGCAGGGGAGGAAGTCAAAGCTGAAAAAGGTAAGCTGATTTGCCCAATTTCACTCAGTTCATAAAAGGGACCTCTGAGATTTGCACATGTATCTCCTTACTCCCAGTCCAGCATCTGATTTTCACTCTACTGCATTTGCCCTCAAGACATCACCCTAATTTTCAACATCTTCTGTAACAGGTCCCAGTTTTCAGTGTTGTGCCTTTTCGCTAATCTACACCTACACTTTGTATAAGAAAAGCTACCGTGTCTGCCTTGATGCCCACATACCATTTTCAGTTTTCAATCCGTCCATCAAGGCTCCTCTCCAGCACCTATGTCTTGAGGACTTTGCTGATTCTCCTTCTATTCCAGTATAAGAGTTCCTTTGTCATGCTCCTCCAAAGCACCTATGTCCCTCTCTCTCCCAAAGTAACTGCTGGATTTCCATTTGTGTTGGTTTTATGAGGATACACTCAACCATTTCTCTCCCTTCCAATACCCTTCTCCCAATATAGAATGAAAACAGTCCTGTCTTCAGAGGATAATGTCTATACTCTTCTTTTTGTGGACTGAAGCATCTTCTATACTAAGTGCTCAAAATTAATTTGTGGAATTGACATGAACACCCATACTTCAATGTAAATTTGCTCATAACATTACTTCAAATACCAGCTAAGTATTTCAATGTGATTTTTCCATCTACTAAGTCCTGCTAACTCTATGAAGGAATTATAAAGACAGTATGTTGCTTAAAACATTTAAATCTATTAGAACTTCCAAAAGTGTAAGAATTATTTTTATGAACTATTTAAATATACTTGTTTTTAGTTAATGTGCAATGACTTTTCAAGATTCATCATCCATTATGTTAAAATTCTTCATTAGGGTTACATGGGAAAATTAAGGGTAAACAGACTATTTCTGTGTCCTCTTTGTCACTTACTAGCTCAGTGAGCTTGGCTAAGTCACATCTTCAGTACATTATAGTGATTTCAAACTACAGACTTTGGAATCAATCAGAAATCAGCTTGTGGTTATCTTAGAATAAGAGGAAATGGACAGGTTAACTATCTCATGGTTTAGTCATGAGAATTAGATGAGATAATACATACACAGCACAGCATGGTTCCCTCAGGTTTAACCATTCAGTAAAAGGCAGCATTGATTAATATCAAGCTGAGTTTCAGAATTCTGATCTCTAAAATGAGAAATAAAATTTCTCTCTGAGCTTTACATGTTGGAGGTCTGAGATGGAAAAATGTTTTTATAAATGAAGTATTCTGCAAATGTCATCTGTAATTAAGCTAGCAATTACTAATACAATCTATATAATACTAAAAAAGAAAGCTACTTAGAGATTTAATGATTCCTAAGTGAGATGCATGATTTGTACTTAATTCTGGAGAAAATGTCCTTATGTTTTCTCATGGGAACAGATCTCTGCCATAAAAATAGCAGGCATGAAGATAAGATTTTATTAATAGGTAATTTGTACCTTATTTCTTATAGTGATTTAACATATAAGTAAAGGTATAATTTTTCAGAACTGCTAAAATTCTTCTTAGTTTGCTTCATGTTATCTTCTTCAAAGGGAAAGAATGCTATTTCATTGCAAGATCACCAATCCCATGCCACTATATCCACAGTCCCCCAACCCCCCCGCCCCACCCAGCCATGCTCCTGGCCTCAACCAGCCCTTCATCACTGCTTTGATCCTATCTCCCCCACTTGGCTCTCCTTTAACCACTTCCTGGACCACAGGTAAGACAGGTAGAGAATTATAAAGCCACTTACTCCAAAGAGTAGGTAGCTGCCTTCTGATTTTATAAACTCCTCTGCCACTTCTTTGATTTATCTGCCTTCCTTCCTTTTTGATTTTCTTGTCACTTAGTAATAAAGTCACACCCCATTCCCAGCTCTGAGAGGGCCTCCATTTTGAGTTTGGGTTCCTTAGCCAACTGATGGATTAAGAATCAACAGATCTGCCTTAACACAGCCTCAGCAGTCCCGCCTCCCTAAGCAGATGTCTAGTTACCCAGTGGACATATTTCACGGTGCCTTCTTGTTTGTTGGATAGGTTTAAATGCCAAGTCTCTGTATAGCAAATACACACACTTTTCTAAGTGAAAGAACAGATGGTTAAAAGATAAGGGTATAGAATATCGCATTTCATTAACTTTTTCTCTCTCCTCCATACACTGATTTTCAGGCGGCCATGGGACATGTCGGCCAGTTTCTATGTTCATGTCTACTGCACAGCACGAGTGACTGTGAGTCCCATGAATCCAGAGCTTCAAGGTGAGTAGGCTTTCATGTCCTCATATTACATTCCTCCCCTCTGTGTAGTTACCCACATATTCTGATGTCACCTGCATCAGCCTGTCTTAGGAGTAAAGGTCTGAGACTTAGAGCATCCATTCACTAAGCAGCACAGGTCCCTGTTATTCAAGGAGAGAAGAAACAGAAATTGAATTTTAGCCTGAAATCTAATCTTAAGAGTTCAAAATGTATAGCTACAAAGATCTGCAAAGTAAATTTAGTTTGAAAATCGATTAAACCAGAAAATTCTGAAACAATATTTTAATTTTCCTATGAAAATCAGCAAATAGAGAAATACTTTCCCTGGTCTCTGCCTGTCTCCTGTCACCGCCCCTGAAATTTATCTTGGTCACCATCAAAGAAACATTTTATCTAAAATAGTTACTATGCAGTGCTTGCTCAAAAGCTCCTAGTGACCCTGGTCCAAGCATTCAAGGTGCTCTGTCATGTGGAGCCATCAACAAACACCACAGGCTTAGTGCCTGTTCCTAGTCACCCAGTCCTCCCCCAAGCCAGATGGATTTACTTCTTGTCCAGCCCTAGGCTTTCCTGTCCTGGAATTTTTTGCTTTTCCTTTCTTGTTATTCCAACTTCACTTACTTCTTCTCATCCCAGCCGCTCTATGAAGGTCACCAACCAGTGTTATCCTCAGTGAGCACCATATGCCTTCTGCTCTCGGTATACGGTGTCTGTGACTTTTTAAGTATTTCCATACCGGGGGCTGTGCATTTCCCTTTCATGTGTTACCACTATCAGATTATAAACTTTTAAACCCTTATTAGATTATAATTTCTTCTAGGGAAGGGATCATGTCTTTTAACTCTCTTATAACTCCCCGAAGGCCTAGCAAAATGGATAAAGTAATAGGAATTCATTTAATCCCTCTCTCTGGGATTCTCTTTTCTCCCGTTTTAAATGATGGCAATAATAACCTACATTGTCCCACCAAACACAGAGGGCTTTTG